TTTAACTGTAAACTAAATCAAAACAATCAGTTAAGTTACTACAGTAACTTACAGTCAAAGATTCACAAAAGTTAGCCACACAAATGTTTCTATTCATATTTTATATGTTGTTAACACATAATATAAGCTTACAACTAAAAATCATTTTAACAAAAAATCTTGAATAGAATATGAAAAATGCATTACCAATTTTTTATATTTTCATTTTATTTAAATGGATATCAAGATTAAACATTTTCTATAAATATGCAAGTTGTTTTTAGGAATTTTTTATAAAAAGAAATCTATTTGAACAAAAGAATTTTAGTCTTTTGAAATTCTCTAAATCAAATGACTTTGCAATTGAAATTTGAAATTAAAAAAAAAATAGAACAATTTAAAAGAATTTAAACGTGCAATAACCATTAATTTAATTGCAGCAGAGTCCATAATGGTAGTGGGTCGTTAAGCAAAAAGAATAAAAGTAAAATGATGTTGAAGCAAATTTTTTCTTTATTTTTTTTTCAACACAACAGCCTGGTTTTTATCTTTATTTTTAAAACTTTTTTTGAAATTAACTTTTTAATTATAGCTTAAAATAACATTTTATCAACAATTTTAAATTACCAATTTTACTACTTTAAGTATATTAAAATATACTTTTTATTAATAAGTTAAATTATTATTTTATTAACAATTTTATATTAATAATTCTACTGCTTTAAGTTTATTAAAATATATATTAAATTTGACAAATTTTATATTTCTTTTTAAAAGCGCTTAATTGATCAATTAAATTTTTTTCAAAACAACTACGTAATCTACTCAACATCTGTTAGTGAAAAATGAATTAAAAAAGAAAACTTAATATGTCGACTTATGTTGTAAAAAACAATCGCTGTCAACTTTGAGTAGACCCAGGCTTACATTATATATATATATATATATATATATATATATATATATATATATATATATATATATATATATATATATATATATTATATATATATATATATATATATATTTATATTTATAATTTTTATATTTATTATATTATATTTATAATTTAAAGTCTTACATTGTGGTCAATAAGTTTTCCATTTAATTTGTTACCATAAAATGCCAGTTTTAGGTTAATTTTTTAAAAAAAATTACTTTTAAAGACCGTAATTAATTTAAAAACTTTTTTTAAGTTTTTTTTTATTATCTGATAGACTGCCTGCCCTAACCAAATCCTCAGTCAATGTAGCAGCACTCCGTTGCGAGTCAGGCTATAATATAGTCAATATAGCAGCACTCCCTTGTAGCAACAGGCTATAAAATAGTCAATGTAGCAACACTCCGCGAATGTTTTACAGTAAAAAAATAAAAAATAAAATCATTCAGAACGCTTTTATTTTTTTTAAAAAAATCAAAAACATTTACAATGTTTGTGGTCTCTAATTTATGTTTTTGTGGTTTTTTAATCTTATTTAGTTTCTGCAATTAAATTAATGTGTTTTGTTATAATCTAACCTTAATTTTGTCTGTTTAAATACCACCAACAAGCCAAGAGCTGTTTTTTACCACAAACTGTATATCTAAGCCCTTTACTATAGGAATATATATATATATATATATATATATATATATATATATATATATATATATATATATATATATATATATTATATATATATATATATATATATATATTATACACATGTTATACATAGCCAAAATACATATATTAGCAGAGGATGTGGATAGACAGTATGAAAGAGATCTAGCTACAGAAAAATATATGTCAATAATTGTAATTATTACCAGCAACATGGTAATTTCCAGCTGAATCAAGTTGTGGCTCTAATAAGTCTAAAGCATTATGTCCTTCAAAATGACGACAAAAAGGTTCATAAGACCTTTGTCTATGTAAAAAGATCACTGCATAACCATGTAGTAGAAAATATCTTTAGGAAGTTCAGAAAAACTGAATTAATTAAAAACTTCACAGAAAAAAAACAAAAAGAGATTATAATATTTTTCACCTCACATTTAAACTAAATTCAAAACTAGAATTTTTTTTTATATAACATAATTTATTTGTTGGAGAGAAAATAAATAAAGAAATACAAAAAGATACTCAGCAGAACAAGCTCCCCTTGTTCCTTGACTAAAGTTATCGAGGAATCTGACGGTATTACTTTCAATGGGTACAGTAGTTCCACCACTCTATAAATAATATATATATATATATATATATATATATATATATATATATATATATATATATATATGTATATATATATATATATATATATATATATATATATGTATATATATATATATATATATATATATATATATATTATATATATATATATATATATATATATATATATATATATATATATATATATATATAAATTATTTCATTCGTAAAATATAGTATGTTTATTTTCATAAAATTTTATCGAAGTATTCAATGCAACAAGTAATAACCTAAAATTTCATAGAAGTATTTAATTAACAAGTATAACCTACTATATAACTAAAAATAGCATGATCCGATTGCAATGAATTTTACCAAAATATTATATAAAAATAAGGTACTCATTAAATGAAACTGCATATCAGAAAATTTTTATTTACATCACATTGAAATTAATTATATCACGGCTCTAAATATAAAAATTATATGAGACGTAATATATGCAAAAAATAATAATTTTTTATTTTAGCATGCGAATGTTTTGTTAATTATGCTTGAAGTTGAATAGTTGCATAATTTTAGTGAAAATAATAATTATTTTTACTCACGGTAACTAAAACAATATGCCTGCCAAGTTGTCTGTGTTTTACTGCAAAATCTTGTATTGTTCTTTTAGCCTCATCGAGATTTGAGGGAGGCCTAGATTTAGCGAAATAATCATTCCAGTCGGCCATTTTCTTCTTTTTAAATTAATGCTTTCAATATTTTTATAAATGTTCTTTCAACTCCGTTAACCGACATACTTTTTTATTATTGCGCATTCTAAGATAATTGCATTGTTTTTATAAAAATTATACTTTAACTAATCGGAGACTTGAAATCGAGACAAGTTTATAATTCTTTTAAAAAAACAATTAAACAATAGGTAAAAAATAAGTAAAAAATTGCGGCTCTGTCTAATTATATTTAAATATATTATATATATATATATATATATATATATATATATATATATATATATATATATATATATATATATATATATATATATATATATATATATATATATATATGTATATATATATATATATATATATGGTTAGAATTTAATAAATACGGCTGCGTATAAACTTTTTTTAAATATATATATTTTTCTTCTTTAATTTATAATTATTTTGATATTTCGCTGATCTATTGTGATTAGCGTCATCAGATATAGTAAATAAAATAGTTACAAAAAAATCATTATAGTAAAAACAAACCGTTAAAAAGATAACACTAAAAAGCCAAAATATAATACAAAAAAGTTTTTCGAATAACTGACGTCAGCAGATTTTATTAAAAAATGGCCCCCAGGTTTTAGTTGTCACGTTATCACCGTCATCCCGATTGAGAAACACGTCAACTCCTGTCGAACCCTATCTTTGATTATTTCGAGTGACGCTCTGATTTTCCGAGTTCGATATTCTAGGGCTACAGATAATGTTTTGGGGTGCAACCAATCAAACTTACCATGGCATGTTTTAGAATGTTCAGTTGCACCCGAAATAGACCATTTTTCTTTTAAGCTATTTTTCTGGTGTTCAATACATCTCGATATCACCTTCTTTTTAGTTTCGCTAATGTATATCGAACCGCGTGAACATTTTAGCTGGTATACGCCAGGGTCTGTGTTTAGTTTTATTGTTGCAAACAGTATTTTTTAAATTGGGAGTTAATGTGAAACTAACTTTTATGTTTTGCTTTCAAAATTCTTTACGAAGTTTTGGACTAATAATTGGTATCCAAGGTGGAAATGTGGTGTTTTTCGAACCGTTTTTTAAATAGTATATAGAAATACTATTTAGAATGTTCTTGTCGTGGCCATTTTCAACAAAGATGTCTATTAGAAAATCAATTTCTTTTTGAAGGTGTTTTTGAGAGCATATTCTTTTAGCACGACATAAAAATCCTTTGAAAACGCCAATAATAATGCTAGGATTAATGTTCGAGGTTTAAGTTGAACATTTGTAATTGCTTCTTTTCTATGTATTTGAAATTCATAAGTTCTAGAGCCTGTGTTTGTAATATTAATATCTAGAAAATTGAGTTGTTTGAGGTCGTTTTTTCAGGTGTATTTTATGGCAGGATGTTGTTCATTAAAGATGTTCAGGAACATTTTTTGTTGTTTTATTCAATCAAAGGGAGCGTGACAATCATTTACATATCTCTTGTAAGTTTTTGGTTCGGATGTATGAATAATTGCAATGTTAAGGGCTTTTCTTTCTATATTTAGTAAAAACGCTTCCGCCATAACAACCATTAAAGATAAACCTGTAGGACTAGAATTAGGTATTATTCGGATATTGTTTTCATATAAACAATATATACTTAGTATACTTAGTGAAAGTTCAATTAATTGGTGTATGTCTGCAAGAGTAAGTTTAGTTTGAGTTTTTAAGTCATCAATGTCAGCGTTCAATATATCAATAATAACCGCAATTGCTTCGTCAATGGGTGTGAATAGATATAAATTGACTATATCAAATGAAACTTAAATTTCGTTAGGACCTATTATCTATTGCTTAGATTCATTTACAAAACTATTAAAATTCATAAGTCTACTTTAATTTTTGTTTAGAGTCGGTTGAATAATTTTAACAAGATAATCATAATAAGGTGGTGTGTTAATTGCATTTGGTAATCTTTTTCTGGTTTGTTAGCTTTAATCATTCTGTAAATCCTTGGTGGGTATATATATATATATTTATATATATATATATATATATATATATATATATATATATATATATATATATATATATATATATATATATATATATATATATATATATATATATATATATATATATATATATATATATATATATATATATATATATATATATATATATGTATATATATATATATATATATATAAAACATTATTGTATTACTTCCTAGTTAAATGCACCGCGGAAGTGCATTTAAACAGGAAGTTTACGCCTCCTTCCTTACCATAACGCAAAAATATGTTCAGAGCTCGTTTCAAACCTAGATCATGTATTACATGTGTTAAGCTAGTTAGTTAATAAAGCCACACTCTTGTTAAAATTGTCATCAGCTTAGCATACGCGTCTATACTTAACTCGTATGCCACTTTTGTGTGGCATTTACGTTTAACTACACGGTCATTAACTACACGGTTGTTGAAAAACCTATGTCTGACTTCGCAGTTCCTGACAATCTCGCGACGAAATCTGATTCAATGTTGAGCTCTGGGTGCTATGCTGCAAGACTTTACATAGCAATCAATTAGGCTTAAATTGTTGAGAAGTTTATATTTTTGAATAAGATCGCCTTTTTTCCGTCTGTCTTCAAGAGTAGTTAACTTCATGATTTTACATCGAGTTTTGTAGTCTTTATTTTTCATTATATATATATATATATATATATATAAATATATATATATATATATATATATATATATATATATATATATATATATATATATATATATATATATATATATATATATATATATATATATATATATAAAGTGTAATTAAATAGAAAAATACAACTTTATAATGGAACTAAAAGTTTCATGCCTATCGGCAATCTTCAGCCATATATATCAATATATATGGCTGAAGATTGCCGATAGGCATGAAACTTTTAGTTCCATTATAAAGTTGTATTTTTCTATTTAATTACACTTTATTTATATATATATTGATCTATTTTGTAAAAATTATTTTTACATTATATTGATCACTCTCAAGTAAACAAGAGGATTTGTATCTCAACCAGATACAATAATAAACAACAATATATATATATATATATATATATATATATATATATATATATATATATATATATATATCAGGGGCGGATCCAGGATTTTTCGATATTTGAGTTATTTAACTTCTAGGTAAGTTCTAAACTCCAAATTTCTGGATTTTTATCCTTTAGTCATTTAGGATGATTTGCCAAAAATTTCGCTAATTAGAGCATGGGAACAAAAAAACCTTAAAAAGTAGACATCACCTGCCCAAATGTGGGGGAAATCGGTTTTTCTAAATATAAATTCTAGTATTCTAAATTAGGTGGTAATATCGTTAAGCTTCTAAATTTTTTTAAAAAAATTATCATTTCGTTTAGAAATGATACCCAGTTTAAATTTACAACATCCTCCTTTTGACGGGACTTTAAACTTTAAATTTTAACTTTTGAATTTTATTAAAGAAAGTAAATTTTTTTTTTGAAAAATCATTTTCCCTCTCATTTGGGCGGTTGATGTCTACTATTTAGGGTATTTTTGTACCTAGGCTCTAATCAGCGCAATTTTCGGCAAGGCATTCTTAAATATAATATAAATAAGTATTTATATATAATATAAATAAGTATTTATATATAACATAAATTAGTATTTATATATAATATAAATATGTATTTATATACATCATAAATAAGTAATTATATATATTATAAATTAATATATATGAATATATATATATATATATATATATATATATATATATATATATATATATATATATATATATATATATATATATATATATATATATATTTATATATATATATATATATATATAAATATATATATATATATATATATATATATATATTTTATTTATTATATATTTATATACATATATATTATATACATATATATATATATATATATATATATATATATATATATATATATATATATATATATATATATATATATATATTATAAATTTTTATATATATATATTATTATATTATTTTAAATTAATAATATTATATTATCATAGATTATTATTTATATATATTATAAATAAACATTTATAATACTATAAATATTTACTCTGACCAAGTATATTATATTTGCTAATTTGTGTTTTGCTTTAAAACTTATACGTTGGTGATTCAGTTTATCAATAGTTTTTTATTTGTTACCCTCAGTTTTTATACATTTAAGTTCTTTGGCAAGGCCGCATTTTTTACTGTAACTGTTCCTTTTATTAAACATTAGTGCTTTGGCATAGGCGTAGAACGAGTCCCAGAAACAAATTCCCAGATAGGAATTTGTCTCTGGGACTCGGCCTAACCTGATAAATCCTATCAAGCGTTCAAAAATTACTAAAAAAAAATAATCATACAATACTTAATACAAACAAAAAGTATAATTCAAAAACAATAAAAATATTTCTGTAAATGCTTGCGAAAGTTCAAGCTCGTTTAAATGTCATTTTGTGGAATTTCAGAAATTTCATGCTACGAGTCTCATTGAAATTTAAGGTCAGGAAAAAAGTAACAAAAAGTAAACAAACACATACAAAAACTAAAGAGCCGATAGTTTTGTGAATTAACCTTTGGTGTTGAAGTGATAACTTTTGACACATTTGCAGAATATTTATTTATATTAAACTCTTTTCTGTTCCAATTAAAAAACGCAATTTTTTGATATTTTTTTGAAAATTTTTCAACATCACATTGACTTCAAAGTAATAAGTTGTATGTTAAAAAATGAAAAAGAGTAGTAAATACTTTTCAAGAAAAGAAAAGCAAATTAAAACAGTTTCGTTTTGCTCTGAATCTGAAAACGGCAATACCCTCCATTAAAATACTCATGACAGTTTATGATTTGTTCAGTCTGATGATTGAGTCAAGTACTGTTGTTGAGTCGCCATCTTTTTCAGAACAGGTTTGACCTTCTTTTTCGAAACACCCATAACTTTAAAAAAGGTTATGGCTGGTATATGTTATATACCATACCTATTTATTGTATTGAACAAACAATCATGCCCATCTGAAAAAAGATTAAAATTTTGACAAAAATGGAAATGAAACCAAAAATAGATTTCGCATCATTGCAAGAAAGACAAATTATTTGTTCAACCTCCATTAAAACTTTATGAAAGTTTCGAACGAATTGCCTTTTTGGAAGAAAGCATTACAAATTTCTACTTCTCACGAATAATCTGATCTTTATAGAGCATCCGTTTGTATAATTAACTATTGAAATAATTTTACCCATTCCACAATAAGCAAAGTCTTGCGTTCCTATCATATTAAAAGAAAAATTTAGTAATCCAGTAAACTATTTAATATAATGATTTATAGTCTATCTAAATAATTTTTCTTAAACAAAATGCACGAATTATCAAATAAAGAATAGTTGTAAATATTTTAGAAAAAGCCATCTAATAACCATCAACTGATCCAGAGGCATTTGTCTCATCATCGAGATTGAGTGTTATCCAGCAACTTCGATTAACGAACAGAAGAAAGAAATGATGGTTAATAATTTAGATTTATCTAAAATATTTATAAATCTTCTTTATTTGGTGCTCCCTGCATTTTTCTTAAAAAAATTTAGATAAACTATAAATTATTATATTAATTAGTTTACTAGATTACAAAATTTTTTCTTCCTAATATGATAAGAACGCAAGGCTTTGCTATTTGTGGAAAGGGTGAAAACAATTCCAATTTTCGCTTGCTACTATAACTAAGAGCAGGTAGTTCTCAGGAGTTGGAGAAATGGTTCAATTGCTATGACAAACAAAAGATGCTCTCACTTGAAATTGAAAGAGATATCCTAAAAGACTATGCTCATGTAACGCTTTGTAAGCTATGTGGAAAGTATAAAGAGTTTACAACCCTACAGTTTGGCCCATGAAACAGCGGATATGTTCGCAAAAGAACTGCATTATGCAGTAAAATAAAAAATAATTTTAATAAAAGTTTATAAAAAATTCTTAATTGAGGAGTGTTTTATGGAATTTTATCAAATTGAAAACATTAAGAGCGCGATTTTGTTAAACTGTTTGATAAACGTTTTGTGTTGATTTAGCCTGTTAATACGTGATTAGCCTGTTAATACGTGATTCAATATTTTGACGGATCGTCTAATTTGTCTGAAAGTATCCATGGATTGCAAACTTTAATGAAGGATAAAGAAAAGCGGGCAACGTATGTGCATTGACGCGCTCATAATATTAATTTGGTAGATTAAGATTCTGTTGAAGTTTAATTAAACTTCAACTGTTAATTAACAGAGATCACAAATATAGTAAGCATAGTCCAATCATTCATTGCATTTGCCCGTGGATCTCCAAAACGTCAAGCATTTGATGTTGTAACTTGGATTAAGGTTTGCACTGTACATCCAATTTTTACATGTAAAAATTAAAACATCACTGTGTCCATTTTTTACGACTTGATGAGTCCTAAGAAAACTATCTATTTTATTTATTATCAGTAATTATTCTGCCATCATCAACTGGATAGAGGATTTTGAAAATCTTTTTGATTATTCATCCAAAAATAACTCAGAAGTAACGAGTTATCTAGAGTCTTTCCGTAATTTCAACAAACTTTTTAAATTGGAAATTTTGCGCATGATCTTTGCGATAATTGAGGATACTAATACAGCACTCCAAAGGTTTGTATATATATGTTTTTGAAAATATTTTTTTATAAGATTTTTTAAAAATATACTAATTTAAGCAAATCACAAAAAAAAAAACTGTAATCAAAAAACATTCCAGATACGCAGCTCAATTTTTGCAAAGCAAAAAACACCATTAACGCGCTAAAGGAGGTGTTAAAAAATGCCCGGAGTAACATTAACATTAAAGTCTTTCAGAATACGGCCGTTTTAGCAGCAGAATGGAGTGTTTTTATGAAATCAGAGATACCACCGAAACGTAAGGTTACATCGCGATTCACTGGAAGTGGAGTTTCATACTGGCTACGAATCCAGAGGATTACTATCATCAGCTTTATTATGCATATCTGCATTGTGTTGTAATGGGATTTTCGATCCAATTTGAACTAATAGAGACCACTAAGGATTTAGCAAGCGTAAAAAAAATCATGATCTGTCAGTGCTAGGATAAAAAAATTTTTCTTACATTCTAGCACTGATCATGCCAAATTCAAGAATATTTTACTAAATATTTTTTGAATTAGTCTTAAACGTGCTGGTGCAGACCAAAATGATGTTCTTTCTCGATTATTTCCACTGATTCCCGAGTTTTAGACGAAGCCAAACATAGGTATGTCTGTCACCTCATGTACGCGAAAGTGTTCTTTTTCTTGTTTTCGTAAACTTGAGACATGTTTGCGTTCTACATTGTCTCAAGACCATTTGAAATATGTCGCTTTTTTAAATTGCCTTTGCAATATCTTTGCAATATTACCACAACTCTTGATCTTGATCCTTTGATTGATGAGTTTGTAATGCCTTCTTATGTAAATAAATAAATAAATTGTGTTTTTATGTTATTGAAAAGACTTATTATATTTTTTTATAGAAATTCAATTCCCACTAAATAGTTTGAGCCTAAACACTCTAAGCCTGTGTGCTTTGGAATTCTGTCCTGATTTGCTTTCAAAACTCATGCAGTTTTTGTAAATTTTTTCAGCTCTTTAATTTTTTTTTAATTCTTTATGTTAACTCTCAATTTAAATAGTGATTGTTTGCAGCCTTGTTGAGAGTGAATTTTTATTAGAAACATATAAACATATTTAAATCTAGCTTATACTAAATCACGCGTATTTTTTATAATTTATCAATCAGTAAGGTCCGTGTGTCCACGAAGTATGAACACAACAATAAATGAACTTTAAATTAGTTAGAAAGAAAATTAGTTAAAACGCAAAATATCTTTACCTATTAAATTTAATTTAAAAAAATAAACATGCGGCTTGCTAGCTATTGACAATATTTCAATGAACACCTCTTAAAAATGATTCTGAAAATGATTCATGTCAAATATGATTAAATTCATGATTAGTTCATTGATAAATGCCAAAACTTAATGTCGGTTCTACCGGGCAAAATCGTCATTAAACAAATCAAAAAGATCAAACAATGTGACGAGTTTGCCAAGCTTCTAAACAAAGCAGCGGAAGCGGTATAGAAAAGTTTTGTCGCACTTGTTCATGGCTTCCTAAGTAATCACAAAGCTGAAAATGTGACGAGTTTGCCAAGCTCCTAAACAAAGCAGCGGAAGCGGTATAGAAAAGTTTTGTCGCACTTGTTGTCATGGCTTCCTAAGTAATCACAAAGCTGAAAACTATTGTTTTGATTCACATAACGAATTACGCCAAAACGGAGATTGTCGCAAAATTCATATCCTTCACGATTTTATAATTTCTATTCCATTCTAACCCCAACGTTTTTTCATTCACCCTTTTTATCCTAGATGTTTTAGATGTTTACTTTAATAAATTCAAGAACATGGGAGCTGACTTAAAAGAATATGGCAAGCGTTTTCATTATGATATCTAAGACGATAACGATGATAACGGGGTTTGAAATCCCCGTTATCAAGTATAGTATAACAATAACACAATGGTGAAATAAATTTGGGGGAAGGGGGTGTACTTGGCTCGAGTGATTTACAGTACGTTACAAATCTAGAAAATCCACTCATTTCTGAAACTTTTTGAGTGATTTTTTACTGCCTTTGCCTATTTAATACACAACTGTTGTTTTTGACCAAAGTTTATACTCAATGTAGTCATTTTTCCAGTCTTACGCGTAAAAAATTAAAAAAAAATAATTTTAATTTAAGAACAAAAATATACTAATATAATAAAATAAAATATATTAAAATATTATTTACTTTTTCTGATAACGTGTTGAGCAGGAAGTTAAATTATAATCAATATGATCGAATTATGTCAATATCTACTGATTTTATTAAAAGCTGATTTTATGCTTACTAATCAATCAATTAGTTTTGAAATTGTAATTAAAAGTAAAATAGATTTCATAAATGAAAAAACTTAAAAGTTGAAACTGCTGGCCAAATCTTTCTCTTTTTTATGAATACTACCATCAATGCTGTTCAAATAAGTTATCATCTCAACAACCAAAACATAATCTCCTCCAGCAAAGTTCTCTTTCTGCAACTGTTTCTTTATGCACAATATTTTACGCAAACAGCTGACAATTCATTTTTATCACTTCTTTTTATCAGGACGCTGTACAAAATTAGTTGGTGAATCGTTCAAAATACGAGATATCCAAATGGATATAAAAACTACTAAAAACTGCAAAAATAAATATATCATCTATAAAATGTTTTAGATAATAAAAACTCATAGTAATGAACTTTTTCGGAACCATATTCAATTTGATAACAATTGAAAATTGATGCTCTCAATTTAAAAAAGTACTTAAATTTAGCGATCGCGTTCAACTAAGTTCGGAAACTGTAAATGTACGACCTTGTTTCCACAAGGTAAAACAATAGAGCTTTTATTTTGGCAAACAACAGGTTGGACCATTATGATTCCCGGTGATGGCTCTGTATATTCAAATGTATCAACAATATTTCTTGACATGACGTTTAACAAAATGACAGTATCCTAAAAAATAAAATTATCTTTTTTTGTAATTTTATTCCATATTTTTCACAAACTATTTTGATAATTTTATAATCCTAACCCAACACAATATAAAAAAGTAAAATAAAAATAATTTTAATTACGCTTTCAACCTGCATAATAAAACAATACCTGAGTAACAACAGCCAATGTATATCTTGCCATCGAAAGTATTTCAAACGCTCCACCGTAAGACAGCTATGTCAAAAGAAAAATATATACGACACAAGGTCTACGAGTCCCTAAAATAAACCCACCAATTTAGTTAATGAAAAAAAACTTTATTCTTTTTCGGCATCTTTTTCGAACGGTGAGTACAGAGACAACATAAATCAGTAAATGACGTGGTCTCTGCACCCACCGCTAAATTACATGACCAGTCTTGCCATGCGCTGTATTTTTACCCACCTTAACAGCTGCTCTTGTCAGTCTTTTAGTTTTGTTAATTGTTTTCTGTTCTATGTCTAATGTCTATGAGTTCCACAAGCAGTGAGAGTGATAATGAAACAGCTTCTAAGAAGACGACAAGGAACGAAGAAAAATATTATAAACGTCATTAGAACCTCTAAAGTTTGTGAGGTTAAACACATTAACTGAAAAAGGCATCTCATTCTATTTAGGATAACAGATGCTACTTGTAACTGTAAATTACAATGCTATACTAAATTTAGTGATGATAAAAAATCTGAATTTGTTGCTAAAAAGTCAAAGTCAAACAAGAAATTTTTTAAAATCTGATTTAAAAACACGCCGTTAAGCACCATAAGCCTCGTTCTGACTAAAGAAACAGCAGCCAGTTTCCAAAATTTCTTAAAATACAGAGGAGAAAAGAAAATGGCATGTGAGAAAGCCTTTATTTCATTTTACAGCATTACTGAGGGCAGGGTTCAAAAGCTTACTGATCTCCTAATAAAAGGTAAATCACATAAAGATAAATGAGGTAAAAATGTCAAAAACAACACGATTTCTGCTGAAGTTTGTTTCAAAATACACGAGTATATTTCAGTTTTTTTCTTACAAAGATTACCCACAATGGCACCAAAAAAATTAGTTATTTTGATGACCGTCTTGATGTAAAAAAAAATGCATTCCTTGTTTAAAGAAAAGTATCTTGAGTTGGATGTAAAATAGGTTTTATCTTACTTATTTTCACTACAACTTTTCATTACAGTTCGAACATCCGCAGGTAGCGCAGCAACCTGTATGTTGCTTTATTGATGATACATCTAAAAAAGTTGCTCTTGCTGAACTTACCACAAAATAAACGAGATTAAAAATTTTACAATAAACTTCAAAGCGTCACTTAGTTATGTGCGTAGTGTGAAGGCATGGTCACTTTCATTTGATTTTATGCAAAATCTCCCCCATATTGCGATTCCAGTTCAGGATATTTTTTACTTGAGAAAACTTTTAGTGAACTATTTTGTGATAAAAAATCTAAAAACAGGAAAATCTGCACCCCGAAGAAGTAGCCAAAAAAGGAGCCAAAAAATACATGCAGCATACTTTTGAAATACAATGACATTAATATTCTATCAAATGTAAAAAACCTGAATCTCTTGTCTAATAGCACCTGCAGAGTTTGCAGGTGCTGTTAGACAAGAGATTCAGTTTTTTTTTTTTAGATTCTTGTCTAATAGCACTTGCAGAATCGGAATCACACCACAATAAGATTTTGCCTTGCTCTAACAAATACAAAACTTTTTGATCAAATTTTTATTACTTTTCAGTTTGAGGACATTTATATCTTCAAAATGATCGAACTTTGCTATTGCAAGAGATTGATATAAACCTTATGAATACGAATGAAATAAAACCTGATGAATATGAAGAGTTGTTTGCTCAGTCAATAACTTTCAAACTGACATAAAAACCATAATGGTTGGTGGAAGAAAACATAACAAACTCATTAGCAAGAGAATGTTGAGAAATTTATGTGATAAAAGTAGCAAAATTCTAGTTTGCTCCCTTTCAATACAAAGAGTTACACAACAACTCTAAAGAAAAAAGAGTTTTTCTTCTAAAGAAAAAAGAGTAATCCCTTTTATTAAAGGATTACAAAAGCACAACTGAAACATGCTTCCCAGAACGTAGATATTGATTTTTCTTCATAAATTGCAGTCTACCCATCAGGAAAAGTTCCAATCAACATAAAGAGCAAATCAAAATAATGACTATTCCCTGAAGACATGAAAATTTTTTTGAAATGGTTTGTGCACTCACCAATTTATTTAAGGGAATGCATTCTAATAGTTGAATATTCAACACTATTTATTTAAAATAATTAATAGCAAATACTTACAATTTAAATTTGAGATAAATTACCTATTTAATAGTGATTATATTATACAAAATGGAAAGACTAAATTTTTCGACTTTCAAAATATTTTTTTTTTTAATGATTAATCAACTTTGCAGTATATCCTTTTTATTTTTAAAAATTTTAATGCAGGCTTATTAACAGCAAAAATTTCAAAAAACAATCATTGTACTGATAGATAGTATTTTGAGTTTAGCCATTGATTCTTCATTTTTTGTGTGCAAGAAATAAAAACATATTTACCAGCTTTTTAGTTGGGTAAAACATAATCAAGTTAAAATGAAAATTAAAAGTTTAATAGCATAATCTTAAATCATTTAATTTAATATGCTTACCAAATTTACTTGCCACCATTTGATATAACCCTCTTTGAGCCAAACAGTGAGAACACCATCAAAAGTTAATGCAGCTATGTAATTGTCATCTGAGCATACTGATAGCACTTCAAAACCTCCGCAGCACAAACTCTTAACTGTTTGAACAACTGAATTTAATATGTAAATATTTCCAGTGTTAGTGCCAATGATAGCAACTTCCGGACTTTTCTAAAATTGAATAAGTCCTATATTAAATAGAAAGTTGTAGAAAAAATAATAATAAAGAAATTAAACTTATCTAAACAAAGATCTAAAAGCTACATGAATATTTATCAAGATTTCATAAAGTATTACTTTTCTCATAATGGGTGATTATTAAATAACTTTAACAGCTCATAACATCAGAATAGACTTTTTGATCTCATATTTTCTATTTCTCTTTTTTAGCATCAAAAGAAAGAAAGTGAAAGTATTTTTGTTTTAGTAAGTAAATATTATAAATAATAAGCATTATAATAAATAATAAGTATTATGAATAGTAGTAAATAAATAAATAGTAAATATTATGAATAAGGTAAAGTAAAAAGTAAAACATAATATACAAATATGTTTGATATTCTCTACAAGAACTGCCAATCACATCCAAAAAACTAATTGCAGCTTATTTTATAGATAAAAATATTTTAAAACCACAGTGAAGAGATATCTGTGGAAAAAGAGTTTTTTCATTTAATTGTTGCTCTGAACAAAGTCCAAGAGCCAAAATTATTTAGACCAACAATTATAATGCCTCAATGCATTCATAATTCAAATAATGAATATTTAAGAAATTACATTGTGATAGATGGTTTTTCCAAATCAATTTTTTTTATTAAAATAAAGTGATGCTATTATTTTATTCAAAATTATTACTTGTTATTATTTTATTCAAAATTATTACCAAATTATTACTTGGGAAAATAATAAAATTCAATAACATCATTTGATAATATGAGAAGCCCATCTGAAAAATGCGCTAGATCACAAAAATAAAAATATTTAGTTAATTTCATTTCTACATTCTATATACTGAAATCTATCATCTATTTAAATATTAGACTAATTAAAATTTTATGGTCCTAAAAATATTACCAAGAGTAGTTATTTTCTTAAAATCAGTTTACTGAGAATTAGAACGTTTTGCAAATGGGCTCCTTATATATAATAAATGTACAAATAAAAAATTAAGTACTTAAATAATAAATACAATCAACATTTAACATAACATTTAAGCACTAAAATTCACAGTCATTAAAAGTCATAGGCAAAATTTTAGTGAAATATAATTTACAAATTAAATAGTGAAATTTAATTTACTTCTCGAATTTTATTCTGCTAGAAAAGTTTTCAAGTTACATAAACTAAATTAAAACTCTTTTCTGCAAGCTAAAGGGGGCTGTCCATTAATTACGTCAACAAAATATGGGAAGGAAGTCTGAACTTTTTTGACAACTGTTGACAAGGGGGAGGGGGGAGGTCAAGAAAAGTTGACGTTAACACTTTATTTTTTTATAACATGTTACTTTTTTATGTAAATTTAATTATTTTAAAAGAGAAAAATTAGGCAGCGTTTGCAGTCCTATGTTACATACTTGCTCAACCTTCAGTATTTTTATAAAGCTATTTATATTCCTACTTTTTTAAAAACTGTGTTGTGCTTTAAAAAGACCTGACACATACAGAACATATAAGAACACATGTGATGATTACTCATAACGCTATTATTTTTTAATAACAGGAAAGAAAGGAAAAAATAATCATGTGGGCATGCATATTATTGTTTTTCCTTTTCCTATTCCATTCCTGCAGAAAAATGGATAAGACGAAACTCACCTTCAGTCTGCTGTGCAAACAAAAAAGATTCATGTAAGTACATAGTCTACAATATATATATATATATATATATATATATATATATATATATATATATATATATATATATATATATATATACTCTTGCATGGTAGTTAAAAAGAGTTTCCCATAAACTGTAGTTTTAAAGAGCTTTAAAAACTTTTTTTTTTAAAAAAAAAAAAAAATTTAAGTTTTTAAAAATCTTTTTATATATATATATATATATATATATATATATATATATATATATATATATATATATATATATATATATATATATATATATATATATACTCTTGCATGGTAGTTAAAAAGAGTTTCCCATAAACTGTAGTTTTAAAGAGCTTTAAAAACTTTTTTTTTTTTAAAAAAAAAAAAAAGTTTTAAAAAACTTAAATTTTTTTTTTTTTTTTAAATGATAGACTGCCTGCCCAAACCAAACCCTCAGTCGATGTAGCAGCACTCCCTTGCGAGTCAGGCTATTTGTCAGTCGATGTAGCAGCACTCCGTTGCGAGTCAGGCTATAAGATAGTCGATGTAGCAACATTTACGCATGTTTTAAAATTTTTTTTTTAATAAAACAAAAACAAAAACACTACAAATTAAAAAAAACTTTCTAGTCGTTATTATTGCAGTTTTTTAAAATTTTTTTAAAAAACATTAAAATTTAATGTACTTCCGCATTAATTTAATTGCTTTGACATTTCGACGACAATCAAATACAGCTTAAGAGACGAGGTAATTAAAATTGTAGTCGAAAGAGACTTTTTTTACATTAAACGACTCTTTCGACTACACTATAAGGATATATATATATATATATATTTTTTATTTTTTCCCATTTAAATTTTTTTTATATTCAGAAGGGAGGGGGTTGGGGATGGGGGTAAATGATTATTGGCGTTTGACAGGTTGTTAACAAGGGGGAGAAAAGGGGGGAGGTAAAATTGCCACAAAATTGTTGAAATAATTAATGGGCACCCCCTTATTAAAAAAATTAGTTACCATTCTTATTTTTAAAAACATGGGAGATTTCTTTAAATGCTGACATGCTGCTTTATTTCATAACCACTATTTAGAAATTTTAGTAAATATTAAATTTATACAACTGCAGCATTAAAATTATGCTTCATGGACAAAAAACATTTTATTTTCAGTAGCATCATTGATACTATAAAGGCTCCATCCTAGTTTCTACAAAGTTACTTATTTACATTGACAATTTTCCCATCTATCTTAACACTAAATTTTTTTTGCTTGCTGAGGATGCATCTATATATTCCAGCTTTGATAAAAAGTCTTTTTAGAAGATGTAGCTAATTTAAAAAAAAAACTGTGATTTTATGTTTGATTGGCAGCCAAACTTGAATCTCAATTTTTTTACAATTACTACAGAGTCACTGTTCAAACAAGCCATTATCTCTTGTTGCTACAAAGTCACTGCTCATACATATTGCTATTAATGAAGTTTATTCTAGTCTGATCTGTCATTCCTTTAGTCGCATCCTTTCACAGTGATTGTTCTTTTATGTTCTAAATTTACCTAGCTCTTTTTCATAGTGAGTTGATTGTGCGCGTGCATAATTAGAACTGAAAGTGAAATTTTATATAAAATATAAGTAATAATTACCTAATACCTATTGATTTATTTAGTGATATATTATTTTTTTCCTACTTTATGCCAGAGAAATTGAACAGTTAATTTATTGATGTTAGCAGTAATAAGAGGTTACCACTAAAAGCCCATATATCATTTTTTTAAATTGTTTAAAAAAAAATTATAAACTATATATGATTTATTTGATTATATATTATTAAATTAATAGAAATTAGATAGAATAATAGAAACAAACAACATTTTTTTAAGTTTAGAGACAACTGAGCATAACATTATTTGAAACTATTTGCAAAACTAAGTTGATAGCATTTCTTGGAAGCAGTAACTGATGCCCATGGGTTTTATGCTGAATATTAATTAACTATAAAACAAAAAACTTATAAAATTTATATAATAAATAATAAATAAAATTTTTTGAACATATATATATATATATATATATATATATATATATATATATATATATATATATATAAAAAATATATATATATATATATATATATATATATATATATATATATATATATATATATATTAGGGTGTCCTATTCCCGCAAAATTTTTGAATTATCACACCAACTTTTAAATTGAGGTTTAGACTAAGAAAAAAATAACATTTACTAAGTATTTTTAAAAAATATAAAAATTTAAGGGTCCCCTTATTCAGTAAAAGTTGAGCTAATCCTTTTTTACAGTGTTTTGTGAGTATTTTTGTTCAAAATGTTAACATATATATTTCGCAACATCTTCAACTTTTCACACAGTATAATTTACTATCTTACTTATAGTGTATAAAAAATTTGAGTTAAAAAAAATTCATTTAAAGGTCCCCCCGAATTGAATAACCAAGTGGTTTTGTAATTTGGCATCGTCAGAAAGTAATTATTAACCGTAAAGGCTTAAATTTATTTCATTATAAAAATGTATTCATAAAACATCATATATAGAAGGGTATGTGTCAAAGTAAAAAAGTTTGATTGTCTTATTTTAACCAATTAATTATTGTAAAGCAATGATTGTGTTTAAATTGGACACTTAGTATAAAGAAAATTTATTTTCCTGTTGTTTCTTTGGCAGCGTGGTCAATATAAAATTTTGTAAGTTTAAGTTGTACGTTTTAAGTTTCTTTGTTTTAGCAGTAAGTTTAATATTAACATTTTAATATTAACATTATTACTATTATTTACTTTTAATGTTAGTATTATTAAATAATAAGATTTATACATAATCAATAATATATACAATATGCGCTTAAATATTGGTTTTAATAAATTAGCGTTCTAAATGTTTTATTTACTTTAAGAAATTAGACTTGGAGTTTTATATAGTTAAAACTCAAGTAATTAAGGTTTTTGTAATTGTTAGGCTTAAAAAAGTTTTTTTTTTTTTTTTACTTTCAGTAAAGTAATTCTGCTTGTGCTGAGTGGTAACCACAAAAATGGTTCTACGTTCTCGTAAACTACCGAAACCTAGTATAAAAGAGAAAAATCGTTCAGTGGAAAAACCAAGATCCACGCAAAATCATCATCAAGATTACTTTATTGGATTTGGATTAGAGAAAAGTTTAAGTGTCAATGTAAAACTTCCTATTAAAATTGCATTGCTCAGAAGATACCTCTACTTTAGAGAAATCAACAAGGGAAGTGAAATAACAGTATCGGCAAAAAGTATTTTTAAAAATATTTTGATTGAATTACAAGAAATTTGGAAAAGAGCTCACTTACCAGTTAAGCCAGATAACAAGTGTATCAAGTATTTCAATCCAGTTTTTAATGAATGGCAAACTGTGTTGAAGAAGGGAAAGAAGTGCCCCGAGAAGAAACAAACCCAGTTTTTGCAATTGATGAATCAACTCTGTGACATACATATCAGCTGTTGACACATATTACATATTACGCGTATCTCGACTTGCAATCTGGAAGGAGGACTGGGAGTTTTTACTGAACCAACGGAAGTATCCACAGGTAATTTCATGCATTACTTCAACAATGTTGCTGTACTGTATTTACTTAAGGTTATATTTTCCATTTTACATTATTGTATTGTTTACCTCTAATTAGGTTGGTTTAATGATTGGTTGCGACGCAACTCATGCACAGCGAGAAAAGAACAAGTTGGATCATCATGAATGCCTTGAAAACAGAGTTAATGCTCACAGCATAGCTAAACAGCTCTAAGTGATCAAGAAGTAGAAGAAATCATCAAGAAGAGTGAGGATGAGTCAAGCAGTTCAGAAGTCGAAGTTTTCACTCCCTTTTTGCAAAAAAGAAAAACCAGATTGTTAAACGTTTGTATTCAAATTGATCTTACAACGTTAACAAAATCATTCACTGATGTCTTCGACCGATTAGACCTCAGCGTAAGAGATCAAACGGCTGTTGAAGCAAAAGTTGTTAAGGTTTGTGGTGCTTCGTTACATCATTTTCCAATCTCGAGATTGTCAGTTCACCGTAACCGTAAAGTAGAACGAGAAAAACAAGGTGCCGAAATAAAGGAGAAATATCAGGAAAAGCGTCCTCTTTATCTATCCAGTCACTGGGATTGAAAATTTGTTTCGCCACTTACTGGTAAATGGGTGATTAATTTATTACTTGCTTACTGTTTTAAGTGTTTGGAAATGCAAATATTGAAAAATACTAAAATATTTAAAAACAAACATTTTATGTTTGTAGGAAAGAAAGAGGAGCATGTTGCTATTCTGGCTAGTGATTGGAATGGATCATCAAACGATGCAAACGAAAAAGTTCTAGAAATCCCTGTAACTGTCAACTCTACTAGTCACGGCCAGAAAGATGCTTTCATTAAGTGTTTTTCTTCCTGGAAACTGTTAGTTAATTTGATTGCCTTGGTTTTTGACACCACTTCTAGTAACACTGGATGGAAAGCTGGATGTGCAGCACTCATTGAGAAAGAAGTAGGTCATGCGCTGCTGTCGACAGCTTGTCGCCATCATGTTTATGAACTGCATATTCGTCATGTCTGGGATGCAGTTAATGGAAGTCATAACGGACCTATTGAGCCAATTTTGAAAATGCTTCAAGACAATTGGGATTCTATTTCTCCCGAGTCTACAGATATAACAAAATTTGAGTGGCCGGAAGAGAACCATCCTATTCATCGCCAAGCAACACACGTTCTGAACTGGGCTAGTAAGTGCCTTGGGGAGAATATCTTTCCATGGGCTGATTATCAAGAATTGATTGAACTGACAGTTCATTATCTTGGAGGTGATCTACCAAAAAGCAAGATGTTTAACTTCAAAAAGCCGGGTGTGCATCATTGTGCAAGATTTATGCGCAATGAGCTGTACATCTTGAAACTTGTTATGTTGGACCAACAGATTTCATCGCTCAATCCGGATCAACGGCATAAATTGAAAAAAATGGCTAATTTTATCGCTCTCTTTCAAGCAATGGCTTTTTTACAAAATCCCATCTCAGTTATTGCACCGAAAGTTGATCGTCAGTACATCGCCAATATACCGTGTTACAGACAAAATTGCTTCTGATGCAGCCATTTAGTCTCGCAACAGACACCTTTAGTGTCTTTAACTGAAAAGTTAGTTATCTTCGCAATTTTTGATGAGGACATTTCGCCTATTGAAAGATCTGCTATGGCATTGAAGTTGTACGACACCCAAAGAAGTGAAGAAATGAAGCCTGGAAAACCGTCTTTCCCGAAAGTCGATGGTGACAACATCCCTTCCTTTGTCTCTTTAATTGATCCGCATTCCTGGCTGTTATTTAACTTAATCAAGATGACTGTAAACCAGGAAGATTGGATGCAATTGCCTGTTGAGCACTGGATGAAGATGAAAGATTACAACTAAGTGAAAAATGTTGTTAAGTACTGTCAAGTTGTGAATGACTGCACCAAGAGATGTGTAAAACTTATACAAGACTTTAAAAATAAAGTTAAGGACCCTGCGCAGCTTCAACTATTACTTCAAATAGCGGAGGATCATCGCAAATGAGCTTCTCTTCAAGGACGAAAATTTAATGAATATGTGATTATTTTTTTAAACAGTGTTATTTGTATCAATCTTACATTAACAAAAGTTAAAATACTTCAAACCACTTTACTATTTAAGTCAGAGGGGGGACCCTGAAATCAATTTTTTTTTAACTCAAATTTTTTATAAAGTATAAATAAGATAGTAAATTATACTTTGTGAAAAGTTGAAAATGTTACAAAATATATTTGTTAATTTTTTGAAAAAAAATACTAAAAAAAACACAGTAAAAAAGGGTTTGCTAAACTGTTTCTAAGTGGGGGACCCTTAAATTTTTTAAAAATACTTCATAAATATTATATTTTTCTTAGTGTAAACCTCAATTTAAAAGTTAGAGTGGTAATTCAAAAATTTTGCAGGAATGGGACACCCTTATATATATATATATATATATATATATCTATATCTATATCTATATATATATATATATATATATATATATATATATATATATATATATATATATATATATAATATATATATATATATATATATATATATATATATATATATATATATATATATATATATATATATATATATGGAATTAAATCACATGTATATAAATATATGTAACTTTCTAAATTATCTGTCTGATCTGGCAAATAACTTTAAAAAATTAAGTTACATGTCTTTTTTTGCCTGTATCAAAATCAAACAAATTAGTTTCAATATTATCACTGTAATAATCTTGTTGCCATGGCTGTAATAATGCACAATATAATATTTGGTTGTAATAAAATTTTTACCTCAACTTTCATTGCTGTAATTTGTTGATCATTTATTATGTTTGAATGCATTGGTATCCCACCATCATCACTAGCTCTCAGCACCTAGATTTTATTTAAATAAAGTTAATTAAACATAACTCTATTATTACCAACTTTCAGTTTTAACGTAATATTCCTATTGCTAGCATTACATTAAAAAGACCTAATCTGCAAAACAAGCTAATATCAGGAAGAGCATCTGGTTGTAAAAACATGGATATTGAACTTTAAAAAAAATATAGTTTTATTAAATACAAATAGTGATATACTGATTTATTGAAGAGATACTTCAATACTACTTAAAAAGTAAATTTTCTGTTTTTTCAAAATAAAGTCTAAAAAAATTATTCATACAGTAACTGTAAGGGAAAAAAAAAATCTTGCACGAGAAAACTATAAAAACATCAAACGCAAAGATGATAATGAAAAAGTGGTAAATAATAACTATGCTAATAATCTAAATATTAATAACATTACTATTAACAAATCTTAAAAGATAATCTTAATATCATTAAATTGCTTTTATATAAAATTTATTTTTAAGGTTTATTTATTATATAAAAAACTGCTACCTTAGGCTACCTAATGTACTAGAGTCTTAAAAAAGACATAACAACCCTTTTTATGAATGCTAAACTCTAAATCAGAGATTTTGATATGTCACATACATAATACTAATAAATACACTCTGCATTTTTGAACTGAAATCTATTTGGTTCTACTTATCATTTTAATTATTACTTATTTCAATTAATTTGAATAAATTTTTTGAATTATTTTTTTTGAATTTAAATGAATTTTTTGAATGTTTTTTTGCAGTAATGCTGCAGCGATGAAAGTTCTAGCCTAGAACCAAGAGGTCCGAGGTTTGACAATGGGTCCCAGTAAACAACATTATTAAGGATGAAAGTGTCAACTTCCTAGTTGAATGCTCTTCTGCAGTATTTCTGTGTTCTTCTGTGATAAAACTCTGTGTTCTTCTGTGATAAAACTGTAAGGACTTCTGAGAGCACCTTAGTAACCGCACACAAAAAAACAAAATGAAGTTTCTTTCCTTTATTCACAACTGATTGAGCATTTTGAAAAACATACCTAAATTTCTAGATACCACATTCATAATATATATTATATATAATCATAGTTTTACAAGCATAAATTAAATAACATTACCTTTACTTGAGCGCGAGTTGAGGAAATAAATATCTTATGTATTGCAATTTCCATAAAAACAATTGGTTGATTAAAAACAGATACTGTCCTTGAAACTTCTAATGAAAATGATGTTAGTTGTTGGTCAGGCAATGAACTTGTTCGTTTGTGACCAATATGTTTTGCTTTGATCTGATAAAACTCCACAACACCATCCTCATGAGCTGCCACAAACCGTAAACTGAAAAAAAGATAAAAATTACAGTAATATGGAATATAACAAACAAAAAAACTTCAAACATTATTTGTAGAACGCAATTTCACATTGATACTCCGAGAGATCAATAGAACTGCTGACTAAATTTCTCTCTCCAGAAAATCGCGGTTTTTGACCTGCAACTTTTTTGATTCTGCAACTTTCAAAGTAAAATTTAATTTCAAAAGCTTTGATATTTTAGTTTTATAATTTGAGAATAATTTATTTCGAACTGTTTATAAACAATGGTTTAAAAGCAATCTCTAGACCAATTTTTTTCTAATGACAGACTTTTTTTTTAAAATCAGTAGAAATATAATAAAAATGAAATACCACTTTGATATTATCTTGTCAAAAATAAATGTAATAAGTATTTAGCAATCTCATTTTAAACTAGGGCCCTGCGAATCAACTTTTTTGGTATCGAATTGAATCACGAATCGAAGCAGACATTGATTTGCAAATCAAATCAAATCTCGAATCAAATCAGCATTTTAAGGATATCTATATTTTAGTTATTCTTAGATTTCCAAAAAATGCAGATTGGACTTGTAATTCAATTCGATTTGCCAATCAAGGCCTGCTTTGAATCATGATTCAATTTGAAACTAAAAAACTTGATTTGCAGGGGCCTATTTTAAACCTTATTTTATCTACATTACATTATTTTTAATTTACATCTTTAAGATCAACAAGACAATTGGCAGATGTATATTTAGCTGCAAAGGTGAAATTCAAACCATGGTAAATCCTTAGAGGTATTTGGTGCTGGTGTTAGCATTTTTTGACCAAGATCACAATATAAAAATGGTAAAAAGTTCTGTATTCAAAAACAAAGGTAGGTTCAAAAAAAATGTAAAAATGGACAAAATCAAAGCTGAAATCCATCTGAAAGCTGTTTTTGTTGATAAAGACCAGCCACTAGGTCTTGAGTTGTATATTTCAACGTACTAGTTGTTAATTTTTGATATTCTAAGTCATAGTTTGAAAAAATGCCTATGGATGGGACTGCCTTAGACTTTTAGGGTACAATGAACTCCAAAACTTTTAAAATCTTTCAAAGTGAAAACAACTCATCAGAACTCACAGCAAAATCATAAATCTATTAAATGTAGTATAAAGAATTTATTTTAAAAATAAAATGCAGGGTAGGATATTTATTTCTTAAAACAATAACATATTTTTTGCATAAAGAAATATTTCATAATAGAAAACTCAATTTTGCTGTGCTTACAGTAAAATTTATTCAAGATAATGTAGAGCGTGTGATGAGCTTGGAGAAGCTTCAGATGCTATTTTAAATAAAGAGTGGATTCAAGGAGCTAGCTACAGTGACTGCTTCCTCATTTTTACATTATTGAATGATTCCTATAAATTGAATTTTGATCCGATATCTAACTGCAAACTCTGAAATTTAAAAGTAGATTTAATATTATTTTTAACATTTTCTTGAGATATTTGTCTGAAGCTGAAAATTTATATGTATATAAATATTTATTGCACATTTGCAGCATTTTAACGCTGAATTCTGAAGCAAATTAGCAGCATCTTTTGGTGTTTGAGATAACAGGCATAGCGCAAACTCAAAGCATTTGTATGTTTATACTTATGTCAGATAATAGTGCTTTTTAAAAAGTTGCAATGATTGGAGGCTGGGAACAAAAAAAGCCATAATATTTTATTCCCCTGCCCCAAATGTGAAAGCAACAAGTTGATGAAATAATTTTTTTGCTATTCTTAACTAAATTCATATTCATCGATTAATATTAAGTATTGTTTTACAATCTCTAAGCGTTCAAAAATTGACTATATAAAATTTGTAACCCCCTCAAATTGAGGAGGGAGGGGGGTTCAAACTTTATATGGTTATAATTTATGAACTCTGAAAGATATTATGATGAAATGAAACTTAAAATTTATCAATGAATATAAACAAAGTTAAGAACTTCAAAAAATTTTTTTTACTAACTTGTTGCTCTCACATTTGGGGCAGGGGGGATAAAATTTTAAGGCTGTTATTGTTTCCAGCCCCCAATCATCGCAATATTTTGCAAAGCATCATTTTTTGACATAAGTATAAACATAGAAATGTTTCAAGTTTGCTCCATGTCTGTTTACTCTCTCAAACACCAAAAAATGCTAGATCTTTCACTGATCTGTGGTTTGATGCCCACTCTAGGCTTTTTTTTTGACATGAAGCAAGCGTAAACTTCCAAGTTAAATGGAATGTTATGCGGTAGTGGTGTAGTGGTAGAGCCCTCGCTTCATAAACGAGTGGTTCCGAGTTCGATCCCCACCACGTCCCTGGTAGTACCGCGCTCAACTCGTTTCTCCGCGCAGCGGCCTTGCTCGTCAAGGTTCGTGTTTCGGAGTTATAGAGTTGAGAGAGGGTTATAACCACAAATAAGTAGCCTCCTCGTCTGTAGTGGCCTTCTCGGCCTTGAGGAGGTGAATTAAAATAAAAAAAAAAAAAAAATGCTCTTCTGCGGTGCTCTGTGATGCAACTGTTAGGTCTTTTTGGAGCAGCTAAAACCACAGAAAAAATATGTATATATATTTTTGAATCACATTGATATGTTTTGGTCTAGTTTAGTTTACAACAAAAGATCGAAAATCATTTACCCAATCTTTCAAGGAAACCATTTTGGATTTGGATTCATTTGATCCTATGCTCGAGTAACAATATTTTGAAAAAAATACATCATTTCATAACAAAATGAGGCAAAAATTATAAAGTTTGTTGTATGACTGGAAAAAAAGCCTAAAGATTAACAAAAAACCACTTTACAGTAGCTAAAGTGTTAATTTATCTACTGTAATTAGGATAGGCACAACATATTTTAGTGTAAGATAGGCACAACATATTTCTTAAATTAATAAGCATAGTGTTTTTTTTTTTGGTAGAGGAACACATAAAGAAAACATCTATGAACAAATTAACTAGATTTTATATCAGAATCTATTTGCACCAATGCTTGGAAATTGCCCTAAATTTAGTCAAAAATCACAAAAAGTTAACTTCCAACAATCGGCACCAATACTTTTATAAAAAAAAAATAAAAATTTTTTAATATAAATATGACCTCTATGCCACTCATTAGCCACTTCGCATAAAAATTGGTTGTCAAAAAAAAATTATGGAATTGGCTATATATATATATATATATATATATATAATATATATATATATATATATATATATATATATATATATATATATGTATATATTGTAACAAATTATGTATAACCAATTATAATTCTAAACCAATTATCAGCCAATTAATCAATAAATTCAACTTCAATCAATTCCTTACATAAATATTTCAAGATATTACAAACTATTTAGAATATTAATAATAAAAGAGGAAAGTTTTAATGTTTTAAGTTTAAAAAAATTTACCAAGAGATAACTTGAATACTAACAATCCCTGAACAATCTTCACTTACATGACGACACTGCAGGGTTGCATTTTCTAATGAGTACACCTAAGTAAAAAAATATATCATATATCATATATCATATATATATATATATATATATATATATATATATATATATATATATATATATATATATATATATATATATATATATATATATATATATATATATATATATATATATATATATATTAGGGTGGTCCACAATACAATGATAAAAAATAAATGTTATCAGAATGCTGCTCCACAAGGTTCTCTTCATTCCATTTGGTAAAAGGAATGTTCAGGACAAATTTTGGTTAATTTGGAACATATTTAGAGGTAGCAACCAATTGGTAAAACTATTTTTATTTTAAGTTCATGCCAGGGTTCTCGCTACATAAAAACGGATTAAAATTGTGTATAGCATGTACAACTTTATTCAGGTATTATTTATTAATCTATTGGTCTTAAGTAAGCGGTGTATGAACTAAGACCAATAATTTTTAGGAATTAAGTACGTAGTTGCTTTTTGTTGATTGGCGATTATTAGACCATTGATGAATTTATAAACAGTATTAATATTTGTGTTAAATAATTTAAAGCTGTTTTAATGAATTACAGTACTTTACAAAATTTGTGCAATAATTTTTTTACATCATAGATAACAATGACGCAGCCTATGAGCTGAAGTTCACCACAAGTTTGGCTGATTAGCAAGTGTGAAGAGGAAATTCTTGGTTCTGGATTGCCAACAAATGGTGCAGTCCTAAAAAATTTTATGTTCTACCATATTGAAAATGGACTAACGATTGCTAGAAGTTCAAAACTGGCTATGGATGCGACTTTAAAAATTTGGGCAAAGGCTAGGATTCCTACACAACATATTGACATATTATAGAGTGCGGAAACTTTGCAAATTATATGATAAATACTGTTTGTTGAAGAAACATCAACTAATGCAGAAAGATGGTTGGCAGTTCAGTGAGGAACAGTTTAAAGCTGATCTTGAAGAACTGTTTGATATCTCCTGCAAGGATGCCATGCAACTCATGACCAATGAAGAGGACAAGCAGTTCTTGCAAATGTAACGAGAAGATCCCTCAAGTACCAGCACGGCTGGAATTGACCAGTCATTAGCCAACAAAGAGTTCCGTAAAAAAAGCAGAGTTTCACCAGAAGCTGCCAGATTGAAGAAAGTTCTATCACAGCAGACTGCAGTACCATCTAAATCTCTTGTTCAACCTGATTCATACAGCTCCTCCTCGTCTTCTTCTGATTCTGATAATAATTTTTTCATCCCATCAACATCAACCAAATCTAAACCAGCTTCAATAAAGTTAAAGAAATCCATCATCACAAATGAAGCACTTGACCGAGTCAACCATCCTGATTGAGGTACCATGTTTGTTGTTGGGGCAGTGGCACAAGTGCTTGGTGTGGAGTTAAATGATATGGCTTTGTCTCGTAGTACCATTAAACATGCTCATATGGCCACACGGAAGGCAGTAGCAACTGCATAACAGGCATCATTCTCAGCTAACACGGATTATCTGTTACTACTTAATTGAAATGGAAAATTGCTTCCAGACATTACCGGCAACAGCAAAGAACTTATAGATCAAATAGCCATTCTTGTTTCAGGGAAAGAAAAGGAGTAACTACTTGCTGTCCCAAAGATTGGAGGTGGCACAGGAGAAAAACAGTGTAATGCCTGCTTACGTACATTAGAAGACTGGCAACTCAAACCATTGATTCAAGGATTAGTCTTTGATACAACAACTTCCAACACAGGATTGAACATCAGTGCCTGCACTTATCAATGCCTGTACTCTACTTGAAAGAGCTCTGAAAAAGGAACTTGTATGGATTGCCATCACGTGTTTGAGGTCATGCTTGCCAATGTGTTCTCTGCTGTTTTTGGACCATCCAGTGGACCTGATATAGGCCTGTTTAAACGATTTCAAACTATGTGGCCATTCATCAACAAGGATGCTTTTAGGTCTGCACCTGACATCCTCTTTGAAGGTATGCCCATTGGTCTTCGTGCAGATATGATATCATTTTTCAGGGACGCGATGCATGCAGAACTTTCCTGTGATGACTACAAGGAGCTACTACAACTATGTTATGTTTTCCTTGGAGGTGAAGGCACATTTAGTTTACGTGCACCCGAAACAATGCATCATGCCAGATGGATAGCAATAGCCATCTATTCTATCAAGATTTTTCTAGATAAAGATCAGGTCAAACTTACTGCAAAAGAGATCAGAATCAAGTCTATTACACTATTTGTGTCACTGGTCTATGCCCGCTATTGGCACGAAGCTCCTCTTGCATCAAGAGCTTCTTTCAATAATATGAACCTCCTAATTCAACTACACAAGTACCCAAATATCAAAGTCAGAGAGTCTGCTATCAAGGTATTTGGTCGGCACTTGTGGTATTTTTCAGAGACATTATGATGATGATACTAAAGCTTCTATGGTTGTCAACTTTTTTCTGCCACCAAATGCAAATCCACGCAAACGTCTGGACTTCAAAGATTTCGACTATCGTGCACCATTGCAGATATACATCACTAGTCATTCTTTCTTCTAGTAATAAATGGAAAGGAAGAAACAAGAACCTTCTTGTCAAAGCATCCGACCAGCTGGGCTTTTGACACAACCTTCCAATCAATGCTGGTTAGTGTAAAAGTTCTAAAGGTTGTAAATGATTGTGCAGAAAGAGGGGTTGCACTCATTCAATCTTTTAATTCTTTCTTGACAAAGGATAAAACTCTATCTGTTGCAACTAGTGTCCAGTCATCAGAAAGAGTTTCCTGTTCCGATAAAAGTGGCTCTTATATTTCACTAAGAACACTTCTAGACTTTTAAGATACTATTGTTTAATATTTTTTCATGATTATATTATCAAGCTAAAGCTTGTTTTTAAAATTTGTTTAGTCTTAAGAAACATTAAAGTATAATAGAACAACAATTCACATAATCAAAAATCAATAAGTAAAATTTCATGAATTTTCGATATTGAATTCAGAAAGTCTTATAAAGTTGCTACCTCTAAATATTACTTAATTTTATTCAAATTTTTGAATTAAATCAGTAATAGCATATGGAATAAGGATAACCTTGAGGATTGCATTTTTAAACTTTATATGGTAGCCAGAAATTTTTCCCATAAACTGTAGATTTAAAAAGTGCATTAATAAACCAGACCAGAAAAAGTTTAAAAACTCAAATAATTTTTTTTTTCTTATATGATACACTGCCTGCCCAAACCAAACCCTCAGTTGATGTAGCAGCACTCCCATGCGAGTCAGGCTATTTGTCAGTCAATGTAGAGACACTCCGTTGCCAGTCAGGCTATAAGATAGTCAATGTAGCAAAACTCACTTGTAGCAGCAGGCTATAATATATATATATATATATATATATATATATATATATATATATATATATATATATATATATATATATATATATATATATATATATATATATATATATATATATATATATATATATTGAAACAACCTCTTGCTTAGTTGTTTTTGATTTTTACATTATCATGTTAGTTTCAAGTTTGTTTTTTTTAAACAATTTAAATTATTTATACATAAAACCCTGACCCAACCTAGGGTCAAAGACAAAACAAAAATCAATGTAGGTAAGTGATTGGTGTTGTGTGGAAAACGACTCATGAAGTTAACTATCTGAGTAAGAGACTGAAAAATGCAGAGGTTATGTGCTTTAGTACTAACAGTAGCAAGAGCTGAGCCATTCAGTGTGATGAACATTTAAGCCACCAATAACAAAAATATTGGAAGAGGGGTTAAGAGAAAGAGCATTGTTAATTTGATTTGGAAAAACATCTAAAAAGGTGCAGTCATGAGAAGGAAAAAGAAGTAAGAGAAAGGTAATAGAGTGAAGTAATAGGTGCTAAACAGAAGCACACAAAAGAATGATCAATAGATTAACAAATAGCTGAATGCGTAAGTATACCTCCAAGCCGAGCAAGTGACTATTGGAGCCTTTGTAAATCAAAGGATAGTACCCATTAATACTGAGACCAAAAGAACAAATGGTGGAATTTAAATTTTTTATTATATAACCAATAAGCAATATGATTACATCAATAATATTGGCAATTGAACTTTCAAATGATTTAAAAATTTTATTAACTTGATTTTATGACTAATAACTTGAATGTTTCTATTTCATTAATAACTTGAATATGATATTTGGTCTCAGATTTCAATTTAGATAAAATTACCACGCTCATTTAAATCTGCAACAATATTTTTCAATTTAGCAGCAAATGATAACCAATTCACTATGATCACAAATTCACCAATTCAATTGGAGGAGATTGACTTAAATCCTCATTCACTGTTTGATTTAAAATAAACATGTTCTAAAATCACATATATAATACAAATATATTTTCAAAATCTATATCAATGAGAATAGAAATATAATAGTATATTCTATATCAAAATGAATAGATATAGTTATACAGAATAGATTAGTAGAATCTATATCAATAGAACTATAATTTAATTCCAATTCAATATAAATTAAAATAAATAAAAATAAATTAAGTTGTCAAAGTATATTAAGTTTTAAGTGTCCTTACTTAAAAGGTTTAATAAGTTTAATTATATCTGACACATACAAAACTTAAAGCTTTTGCATTAAATTTTGTAAAATCTTAATAAATTTGAAAATGCTTCAGAAGCTTTTGCATTTATATTTGTTAAGTCTTAACTTTTAATTAATATTTTATCTTTGTTAAAAAAATTAAACTTCCATTTGAAAAATAAAAAGTCATATTAAAAATTCAACAAACTTTAATTTTATATTTTATTTTTTATGATTTTATTTTTGTAATTTAGCTACAACTAGAAAAAATTAAAACTTTGAAATTTAACCTAAAAATATTGGGAACACTTATATACACTAATATAAATATAGATAAATTTAATTTCTACCATGTTTCATAATAGAAATGTATAATATTAAAGATAACAAAACTCAAATATGACTTTCCTGTAAAAGAGGAGTACAACAAAAACACCAGCTGATAGGAATTATTAATGATGCAACTTGTATCATTATTAATTGTCATCAGAGGTAAATATTTAAATAGAAATTATTCTTATGAAATTGTAAAAAGACTAAATAAAATAGTAGTTATGATGTTAATAACATTATTGTTTACATATTTTTAACTGTTTATAAAAATACTTAAACAATTTGCTTTGTGCCAAATCAAATACTCAATTTAAAAATGTGCCAACTGAGATGCAAATATTTTAGATTTTTTTTTTGGAGGTAAGAAGGAGGGGGAGGGGAGAGTGGACACCACCTACACTCCCCACTCTAGAAAACTCTGTGTAAATAACTTAACATTTAAAAAGTGCTCAATTTTAAACTCAGCATAAACTTTAAACAAGCAATTCATAAAATTCATAAAAGGTAAAAAATCAAATCAACAGGAAAACACTGCATTGATCATACAAAAAAAAAAAAAAAAAAAAAGATAATATGAAATGAAGCACCTCAATACAACCTTGCTCACATCCAGCAATTAAAACATCTGATTTATAAGCTAAAGACCAAACAGCTAAAGGTAATCGATTTTGTACTTGTTCACTTGCTATGAACTCATTGCTTAATGACCAGGTACTTGTACTTTTGGGCAAACCAAAAGCCTTAACTTCACAGGTTCTTAAAAAAAAGTATTAACAAAAATGTGTAAAATTATAAACATTACCTACAATAATAGAATAACCAAAACATAAAAAAATCACCTTTAAAATGTTATCATGGTATATTTAAACTTGACTATATATATATATTTATATATATATATATATATATATATATATATATATATATATATATATATATATTAGGGCCCTGCGAATCGCTTGGATTCGATTCGTGAATTAAATGTTGCTTTGATTCGAGATCCAATTAAAAAAATCATGACCAAAGTAACCAAAAATTTAAAACTTAAAAAACCATCCCCACCACCTAAATATTTTAATATATCTTTTACAAATATTCGCGGTCTACAAAGCAACTTTCCATCAGTTGAGTCTTACCTCCTGCAAAATTCACCAGACTTGCTTGCACTCAGTGAAACAAATTTAAGTTCTGCAATTCCTTCTTCAGATGTCAGTGTTGATGGGTACTATCCTTTGATTCGTAAAGACTCCAATAGTCACATGCTAGGTTTAGGGGTATACATACCCATTAATTCCCCTATTTGTCGTGAAATCAGGTTCGAATCCTTTGACCATTCTTTTATGTGCTTTCGCCTTTCACTCTATCACCTTTCTCTTTGTTCTTTATCGTTCTCCTTCTTCCCATGATTGCACTCTCTTAGATGTTATTCTTTATTTCCAGTAACTTCTGGGGGTTCCCCAAGGTTCCATCCTGGGCCCTGTTTTGTTTCTTATCTACATAAACAATCTTCCTGACAACCTTTCATCTAAAGTAGCTCTTTTTGCTGATGACTTAAATTTATACTCCTGTCTTGACAAAAAGTCTTCTCTTTTTGATCGCCTAGAACAAGCAGCTGATCTTGAATCTGATCTCACTTCAGTAATAGATTGGGGTTCACAGTGGCTTGTGAATTTCAACTCTAAAAAAACCCAGTTGCTTACTGCAAACAACTACCGTAATATGATCAACATTCCTATATTAATGAATGGCAACCCTCTTACTGAGTCCTCCTCTTTACGTCTTCTTGGATTATCGCTTACTACTGACCTTTCATGGAAACCATATATACAATCGATTGCTAAATTAGCTTCTGCTAAGGTTGCTTCTCTTTATCGTGCTCGCCATTTCCTTACTTCTGATTCCATTCTCTACCTCTACAAATCTCTTATTCGCCCCTGTATGGAATACTGTTGTCATATTTGGGCTGGTTCTTCTAACGATTCACTTTCTCTTCTTGACAAGGTCCAAAAACGCATTGTAAATGTTGTTGGACCTGGACTATCTGCTAAGCTTGAACCTCTTTCCCATCGTCATAAAGTTGCACTTCTTTCTCTTTTCTCAAATACTATCATGGTCACTGCTCAAAGGAGTTATCATCTCTAGTTCCATCAACTAAAATTCATTCTCGTTTTACTCGTCATTCAGCTAGGTCTCACTCGTTTACTGTATCTGTCCCTGTATGCTCTAAAAACTTTTATTCATCTAGTTTTTTTCCCCGCACTTCAATCCTTTGGAACTCTCTCCCATCTTCATGTTTTCCTGACTCATACAACCTTCAACTTTTCAAGTCTTCTGTTAACCGTTTCCTTGCTCTATAACTCTGTTCTTTTTTTTTTCCTAGTAACTCCCAACTTAATAGTGGTTGTTTGCAGCCTTGTTGGGAGTGAATGCAAATAAAAAAAAAAAAAAAATAAAAAATAATTCGAGTTTTTCGAATCACTTTTTTATTTAAATTACTTTATGTTTTGATACAAATGGCGTTAAAAAGTTTTAAAAATTTATGTTATCAGAAAATTCAGCAGTAGAGTAATTTTGGGGCGTAAAGTACATTTCATTAAAATTAATTGTCGATTAGGGATTTAAACAGAGCGGAACGCAAATTAGTAATGCAAAAGTTAGCTTATTTATAAGGGAAATCCCCTAAAACGATACTGGTGACAGCGCACTAAACCATTAAGCAATCAATGATATGCGTTTAGGAGAAAAACAAACCTAAATATAATATCTCTTATAAACTATAAGTTAAGCTGAAAGGGTGCGCATGTTAACTTTTTTTAAGAGCAAACTCTTAAAGCAATTTTTTTAAATGAATTATTTTACGTAAAAATATTGAAATAAACAAGTAATAGGTATAGGTATGATCGTTGTGGAATAGATAAGTATAGAAATGGTAGATTTGGTCAACAACTTCTATACTTATCTATTCCACACCGAATTTATGGGTCCAGAAAGCTAGGATATATATATATATATATATATATATATATATATATATATATATATATATATATATATATATATATATATATATATATATATATATATATATATATATATATATATATATATATATATATATATATATATATATATATATATATATATATATATATATATATATATATATATATATATATATATATATATATATATATATATATATATATATATATATATATATATATATATATATATATATATAAGGAAAAAGTATAGAAAAGTTGGAATAGACTTACAAAGACCTGTATTTTTACGATTCAGATAAGCTAGTATTTATTTATATATATATTAATATACAGAGCCAGTGACTTGGTAAGTCAGTACTAGTACAAGATTTGTCAGGTACTGACTACAGAATACTAAACCTTGATTTGGTATTCTAGCCAAATACAGGTACCTAAATCAGACTCAAAGTGCTAGCCATATTTTTGCAGTATTCAGCAATAAGTATCTTAATACTTTTGATCCATTTTAGTTTGCAATAAACAACTAGATCACTGCAAAGCTTAAGAAAATTAGTAAACAGAAAGTCTTTTTACGTACAAAGTCTTATACTTATACTCATCACATACAAGGTTTTATTTATTGGTTTCAAAATATCTACAAAATAAAAAACATGTAAAAACCCTTTACATGTTTTATATTTTTTTTTAGATCTTCATAAAGATCTATTGCTACTGTAAAATAAACTTTCAAAAATTTTTTTTTAACTGCTTAACTGTTTCTGTCTTATGCTTTAGAAGCTTCTACTGGCAATAAGGCTGAAAACTAACATTATTCTGAAGCTTCTACCAGCAATAAGGCTGAAAATGAACATTATTCAGGCATTTAAAAAAATAAAAAAACAATAAAATATTAAAGACCAAAGAAATGTACAAGTCCATAATATAATAGGAAAACATCACATTGAATATTCAACTATTTTTTATTGTAATGTAACTCAATGAACTGATAACTTACCTACTTATATTTTAAATGTTTTCACTCTTTTAATACTTACAATAGTATATTTCTATATTCTATAAATAGATTTTAAACATTCTAAACAAAATTGCAGCTGGTTAAGAAACTTTATAAATAATTAAAATTTATAAAGTTAAATAATATATTAAACAAAATACAATTTATATATTTTTTGTGTAACTATGTCATTTATTTATGTAAAAATTATTTATGTAAAAATTATGTAAAAATATTTAATATAAATGACACAATAACTCTAGTTATTCCAAAAAAAAACTATTCATGAAATAAAAAACTATCTGGATTTGGAACCGGGCATAAACAGGTTTGGACATTTTGACATTTATTTTAGGGAGTAAAGGACTTTCCGCATGTTGCTGCAATCGCTGAACATACATACATACATATTATTACTTGAGACAAAATTTAATTTTTACCTTCTATCAATGTAGTAGACGCATGTATTTTTGTACAAATCCCAAACATAAATTGAACCATTATTAAATGAGCATATTAATGTATCAGCTTCATCAACAACCATTGCATTGATTTTAAAAAGAAATTTTTTATTGGGAACAACCAAGCTGTTTATCTTGCTTAAATAAATATTTGTACCCTTGCCAAAATTTAATACACATTTTTGCGCCATCTTTAACAGTTTGTAAGTAAAGGTTAAAAAAATAACACAACAAGCAGCAATACCAGGATTTGACAATTGTGAAATATATGATATCATGACATCCCAAAAGGTTGATGGGAGCAACTCTCGAGGAGAAAGAGATAACTGTTTATCTGTCACATTAAATTTAACAATAATTTCAGGTAGTAATACAAGAGATCTAGTATAAAAAAAAGATTTAAAATAATTTGTATATCCAGATTAATACTTTTACACATTTATTTTTGATAACTTTTTAAGCTTAAAAAAAATTTTATAAAATATGATATATGTTTATATGCATATATATACAATCCTTATGAGGTTGTCTGAAAGTTTTTCCATAATTTGTTGACATTAAAAAAAATAAAAACCATTAAAAATTTAAAATTTGTTTTTAACAAAAAAAGCTGCCAGTTTAGGCCAAAACCTATAGTCAATACTCCTTGCATTTTTTACCTAATAAAGTTAGTAGATCTATGTACACTCCCTGCATGTTCTACCTTTCTACATGTTCTACCTTTGGTATTTTTAAAGTAAAAGCTTTGGAAAGTCCGTAAAACTTTTACGTAAAAGTCTTGTTATCAACTTTGACTAAATCGACTAAAAGTCAACTAGTCCAAATTTGTAAAATCAAATAGTCGATTTAATTGACTATGGATTTCCTACTAATCAAATAAAGGTTGGTTTAGTCAAGTAAAAATTTTAAAATTGTATATCATTTCATTAAATTTAACTTCTCAATCTTTAATTTTTGTTTGGTCTTTTAATAACAATAGTATGTACTATAATAACTATTACCTAGTTTTTTATTTTTTCTCAGGGCCCCTCCAAGCTGGCTTGCGGCCCTGGGGCAAAATAAGTTGCGAAGCTCCAAAATCAAAATTTTATCTGTACAATCACATTGTAAATATGATTGTAATAAGTTTTTGATATATAGCCACTGTATCACGAAATGCCTTTTAATTCAAACCTTTTTTTCCGTGAAAAATCTTTGGAAGTTTGAGAGTACAAGTATGTAGTACATTAGAGTTTTGAAATTTTATAACTGTCCGTAAAAAAAAAAATTGATTTGAATTTTCGATTTTATTGCTTTGAGCAAATGAGTTACATTTATTATTTGAATTTTTTATTTTATTTAAAACTTGTTTTTATTTATTCTACATAAAGCAGTGTACTTAAAACAACAACAAACAAAAAACCATAACTGAATGCTTTTTCGACTGTTGTTGCTTATTCAGAAAATTAAAAACTATAGTTCTTAAAAATTGATGTTGAAAAGTAATTTCTTACATATATGAATTGGTGAATGTTAAAAGGGCGGAAGTCCAACTAAGTTAACTTTCCGGAAACTAAAAAAACTGCATTTTCCCCCATAGTAAATTTTAGTTAATGGTTTAATTTTTTTTGAAGAGGATGTTTTTCACCTTCAAAAAAAAATTATTGAACCATTAACATTAACTACGAAGGGAAAAATGCAGTTTTTTTTAAGTTTCCTGAAAGTTTACATTATTGGATTTCCACCCTTTTAACAATCATCGATTCATATATTATAATACAGCATTCTCTAGAAAAAAGTTAAAAGGAATGTTTGCTGTTTTAATCAATCAAACAGTTTAGAAACTTCTAAGGGTAGCCCTGATAATTACGGAGCCTTTTGAACTGCTGCCATGTTCAGTAATTCGTGGTCTTTAAAGTAACTTTTCTTCTGTTGAGTCTTATCTCTTGTAAAATTCACCAGACCTACTAGCTCTTTGTGAGACTAATTTAGGTTCGGCTGTCTCATCTTGTGATCTTAGTGTTGATAGTTATTTTCTTTTAATTCAGAAAGACTCCAATAGTCACATGTTTGGCCTGGGCATTTATATTCATAAGAATTCACCCATTTGTCAGGAAATTAGGTTTGAATCCAGAGCCTATTCTTTTATGTGCTTTTGTTTAGCACCACTTCACTCTATCACCTTTCTCTTTGTTCTATATCACTCTCCTTCATCTCAAGACTGTACTCTTCTGGATGTTATTTCTGATCATATCGACCAAGCCCTCTCTCTTTATCCATCAACCAATATTGTTGTTTTTGGTGACTTTAATGCTCATCACACTGAATGGCTTGGCTCAAGTGTCAGTGACTCTGCAGGAGTTAAAGCTTACAACTTTTGCCTTTCTCAATCCCTAACTCAAATAGTCAACTTTCTAACTCACTTTCCAGACAATCCGAATCATTTACCTTCTCTACTCGACTTCTATATGTCTTGTTTCTGATCCAAGTAAGAGCTCAGTTTCTCCACATTTACCCAAGGTGCTTCTGATCACAGTTTGATCTCTCTAAAACTATTATCTCATTCTTCTTTATCATCAGAATCCCCCTATCATGGTACCTCTTAGAATTACCTTAAAGCTGACTGGGACTCTTTCCATGATTTTCTTTGTGATGGCCTTTGGGTAGAAATCTTTCGTCTTCCTGCTGACAAATGTGCTTCTTACATAACTTTGTGGATTCAGGCTGGCATGGAATCCTTTATTCCCTATCGATGATTCCAGGTCAAGCCTCACTCCTCTCCATGGTTTTCCTCACATTGTGCTGCTGCAATTGCCAATCGAAACCGTTACTTCCTTATTTATCAGCAAAATAATTCGCCAGAAAACAGATTCTCAGGTTATCCAATCTCGTATTTCATCACAAAAATTAGGCTCTCATGACTTCTGGAGAACCTTTAATATTTTCAATAATAAGGGCAAATCTGGAATTCCACCTCTCTTGTATGGTTCAGACTTTGTCACCTCACCTAAAGACAAAGCTGAATTGTTTGCCAAGAACTTTTCATCAATATCGCCTCTTGATTCCGCTAGTTGTGTTTTACCTATTATAGCTGTCAAACAGGTTGATCCATTGCTTGACATTCATATGACTCCAGCTTCTGTATCTAAAGTGATTTCCTGCTTAGACTCTCCTGCAGCTTGTGGCCTGGACAACATACCTGTTAAAGTCTTTCAGAAGTGTTTTCCGGAGCTGTCGTCTATATTTTCAAAATTATTCCACTAGTGCTTATCAGAGTCTTGTTTTCAAGCCTGCTGGAAATCAGCATCTGTTATACTTATTTTCAAAAATTCCAGAGATCAATCTGATTCGTCTAACTACCATTCCATTAGTCTTCTTCCAATCATAAGCAAGGTTTTAAAATCTTTAATTAACAAACACTTAATCTCTCATCTTGAATCTAGTAACTTACTTTCTGATCATCAAAATGGATTTTGATCTTCTCGTTCTACGGCTGATTTGCTAACAGTAATAACTGAAAGGTTTTATTGTGCGTTAGATAAAGATGGAGAGGTTAAGGCAATCACTCTTAAAATTTCTAAAACTTTTGATAAAGTTTGGTATGCTGGGCTACTCCATAAGCTTTCTTATTTCCGTGCATCTGGAAACATCTTTAAGATTATTAATTCCTTCCTTTCAAATTGTACTATAAAAGTTGTCCTCGATGGACAACACTCTTCTTCTTATTCTGTAACCTCAGGGGTTCCCTAAGGTTCAATCCTTGGCCCTATACTTTTTTTAATTTACATTAACAATCTTCCAGATATTCTCACATCTAAAATGGCATTGTTCGCTGATGATACTACCATTTATTCTTGTCATGATAAGAAGTCAACACTCTCTGATTGCTTGGAGGGGGCATTTGAGCTTAAAAAGGATCTCACTTTTGCTACAGTATGGGGCACACAGTGGCTGGTGAACTTTAATCCAGACAAAACTCAATTTTTTTCAGGCAATCGTTATTGCATTAATTTAGACCTTTCTATATTTATGAATGGTAATGTACTCGATGAATCATCTACCCTTCATCTGCTATGAATAACTCTTACTTTCAATCTTTCTTGGAAACCATATATCAAATCTGTTGCAAAATTAGCATCTGCTAAGTTTGCATCTCTTTATCGAGCTCAACACTTTTTTACTCCGGATTCTATTCTCTATCTCTATAAATCTCAAATCCAGCCTTGTATAGATTACTGTTGCCATATCTGGGACAGATCTTCTTATGATCCCTTTTCTCTTTTAGACAAGGTGCAAAAATGCATTGTAAACATAGTTGGACCTGCTCTTGCAGCCAACCTTCAACTATTATCACATCATCGTAATGTTGCTTCTCTTTCTCTTTTCTACAAATACTGTAATGGGCACTGCTCTAAAGAGCTAGCGTCTCTTGTGCCATCTACTAAAATTTATTCTTATGTTTCTTGTCATTCAATTAAGTCTCATCCTTTTTCTGTGACTGTTCCTAAGTGCTTGAAAAACTTTTATTCCTCTCATTTTTTTCCTCAAACATCAGTTTTTTGGAATTCGCTTCCTTTATCTTGCTTTCCTAATTGATATAATTTACAATCTTTTAAGTTATCTTGCAATCTTTTAAGTCGTCTGTCAATCTAGCTCTACAATTTTGATCTTTTCTCTTCCAGTAACTTCTAACTCTAATTAGTGGTTGCTTGCAGCCTTGTTGGAGGCGAAAAATGTTAAAAAAAAAAGAAAAAAAA